GTATGTGGGATCCGAACCCTCGGGCGGGAGCGCTGCCGCGCTTCCCAAGCGGCGCACTTATTCAGTGCGCCACCGGGCCGGCCCAAGACATGTCTTTTCCATCTCATTAACACTTATGCAGCCTCAACACTGACCTCTTAATTAATATATTTTATTTCCAACCAGTTACTTTCTTCCTCTTTAACCCAGCTCAACTCCCATCCTTCTGTAATAAAATGCCCAGGATATTTAGAGATTTTCTACATTCAGATTTACTCTTGAACTATAGACTTATATCTGTATGCTTAAAGCCATGTAATTATCATATGTCTGAGTATTAGCCTTTACCTTTTATGATAGTGTGGAAAATGGGTAAAGGGATGGCATAGGAGGAAGCCTGTTTTTTTTTTTTTTTTTATTGTGGTCTAACTATAAAAATCCATAGAAGGGCTTTGCTTTGGGAATGGGAGCACAGGAAAAAGCAAGTGAGACTGACCCATGTCCCAGGTTCGATATTAGTGGGAATCCCTGCTCTCTATAGACTTTTACTACCTGACCAACCCTACACACACCCATGTCAGACCTACTCCATATATCCCCTGCCCAGCCCTGTTCAAGTCCATGATGAAAGGCTAGAAATGAACAAATAATAGAGAAAATTAATGAAAACACAGCTAGTTCTTTGAAAAGATCAATAAATAAAACTTTTCTCTAGATTGATTAATGAAAAAGAGAAATCACAAAGTACTATATGAGGAATGTGAGAAGTGATATCATTACAGATCATACAGATATTAAAGCTACAATAAGAGAGTGTTACAAATAATTCTGTGCCAATACATTTGACAACGTGGATAAAACAACTTGGATAAAATGAACAGAGTATTTAAAAGATACAAATTTCCAAAACTGACACAAGGAGAAGTAGAAAACCTGGCTACCCTATATCAATGAAAGAAAATGAATTTGTAATTAAAATCTTCTCACAAACAAACCTCAATACCTAGATGTCTTATTGGTGAATTCCACCAAGCATATAAGGAAGAAATAAAGCTTATTCTGCACAAATTCATTCAGAAAATAGAGCAGGATGAAAAACTTCCCTATTTATTTTATGAGGCTAGCATTACCCTGATACAATAATCCTGATACAAAAGCCAGACAAAGAAAAAGGAAGAAGTGAGAAAGAAAGGAAGAGAAAAAGAAAAAAAACTCCAGTGCATGGTAAAGGGCCACAAGAAATGAATACATTGTGTAATGATAAATATACTGATTATCCTGATTTGAACATCTCATGTTGCACACAGGTATTGATATTCAACGCTGAATCCAACAGACATGTATGTTCAATCAATAATGTTTCAATAAAAAGTAAAATAAAATACAAAAAATAAAAATACTGAAGTTTTAGCAAATCAAATCCAAATATGTATATATGTATAGAAAGATATAAAAAGTAATACATCTTGGACTCAATTGATTAGAGCACGGTGCTGATAACACCAAAGTCTAGGGTTCAATCCCTGTACTGGCCAGCTGCCAAAAAGAAAAAAAGTAATAGATCCTGACCAAGTAAATTTATATTAGGAATGAAAGTTTTGTTTAATATTCAAAAATCAATCATTGATATTCAGGGTATTAACAGATAAAAAAGAAAAACCATATGAACCCTCATTTATAATAAAAACTTTTAGCCAGTTGGGAATAGAATGGAACTTTCTCTGGTAAAAGTTATCTATGAGAAACCTACAGATTATATCTGTAATCCACATAATGTAGAAAGATTGGGAACATGACAAGAGTCCATTCTCACTACTGTTATTCAATGATGTACTGGAGGCCCTGTGAGACATGAAGATATGTAGATTAGAAGGAAAAGAAATTACAACTCTCATTTGCAGAAAATACAATCATGTACAAAGTCTATCCTAAGGAATTTTACAAAAAAAACTACTATAACTAATAATTGAATGGAGGAAGGTCACAGAGACACAAGGCCAATATGCAAAAATCAATTGTATTTCTATATACTAAAAATGAACAGTTGGAAAGTAAAATTTGTTTAAATACCATTTACAATAGCATCCAAAAACATGAAACATTTAGAACTAAATTTTTAAAAATATGTACAAGACCTGTACATTGAAAATGACAAAACGTTAATAACAGAAAGTAAGAAGTACCTAAATAAATGGAATGATATATGATGTTTATGGATTGGGAGACTAAGTATTGTTAATATGGTAGTTCTCCCCAGATTAACTGAGCAAGGCGTGGCAAGCTATGGCCTATGGGCCAAATCTAACCCACCCTGATTTTGTAAATAAAGTTTTATTAGAACACATCCATGTGTACTTATTTATGTATTTTCCAGTTTTTGTAAATTTGTATGTTTATATATATATATGTGTGTGTGTGTGTTTATATTAGTATAAGCACTGGGAATGGTGTTACACTATCACCAGGCTATGGACCTTGGTCACCCCAGGGGGATGGGAATGAAGTAATGTTGAGAAGAGATCATAATTTTTCCTTTATACATTTTTGCCTAGTTTTACTTATGGAAAAGCATGAATTATTTTTGTAACTGAAAATTTAATTTAAAAAACACAAACCCTTATCATTCTAAGGAAAGACGTACAGTGTTTATAGTTGCTTTTCTGATCACCTTTTGCTAGAATTTGTTAGGTCTGATATTAAAGTGAAATTCAAAGGGACCCAGTTTATTCTTCCAGAGCCCAGGGTACTTTCAAACAAGGGCACATGACCTGCACTTGGCCTCTCACTCACAAGTAGCAGAAAATCAGGTGGTTTCTCAAAAGCAAAATGGGGAAGTAGATGCTAAACAAAAAAAATGAGAAATATTGACTTCGATACCAAGTAAGATGAGGAGGGGAACAGGAAAAGAAAAGAAAGAGAAGCAGGGAAGGAAAGAGACCGTGGAAGAGAAGACTTGAGGGAGACCTAATCCAGGAGTCTCAAGACTTTCTACATGTCCCAGACTTTGTACATTCATAATCCTTTCACTCCTCTTATCAGAGATGACCACTGCTCTCTTGGCTATCAATGTGAATAATGTTTCACTTCCTCCTACCATTTATTATCGCATCCACTAGTGTGTGTGTCTTTGGAGGATTTTTTTTTTTTTTTCCCTCTCTCCATAGTTCATTGATGGCATAATCTTCTCTCCAGCAAGTGAGAAGAGCAGATTCAGGGGATATACAGTTAGTGCAGGTTTTCTTACTTATTTTAGCTGGGAAAAAAGTCCAACTGTATTCAATATGATGTAATTATGGTCAAAAATATACTAGGAGTTTCTTTTTATTCAAAGCAAATACTTTTAAATTATGGATTCCTAAACCCTTTGTTTAGTGGGAAGTTTTAATCATTAGCCAGTCTTCATGACCTAGAGACCCTCTGAAGATAGGAAAATTTTAAAAAATTTATTGCCATTAAAAAATACAACATTTGGGACTGGCCAGTTAGCTTACTTGGTAGAGCGTAGTTCTGGTAACACCGAGGTCAAGGGTTTGGACCCCTGTACTTGAAAGTCACCAAATAAATAAACAAATAATTTTTTTAAATTACAAAATTTTTTTGGACTTTATAAACATCAATCTTAAATTTTAAAAATTCTTATGGCTGGCCAGTTAGTTCACTTGGGACAGCGTGGTACCGATAACACCAAAATCAAGGGTTTAGATGTCCGTACCAGCCAGCTGCCAAAAAAAAAAATAGTAATAAAATTTTTAAAATAAAAATTCTTACTCTTTAGACCCATTACCTCAAAGAAGTACGTCACATAATCAAATGCAAGATTTGTTTTTTTCTTATTTTAATCCAACAGGGTCATCCATCACTTGTGAAAGCTCTGTCCTGCCTGTACGAAAAGTTTTATCATCATCAAATCAATCCAAATAAAGAAATCCTTGTGACAGTAGGAGCATATGGATCTCTTTTTAATGCTATTCAAGGATTAATTGATGAGGGAGATGAAGTAAGTATGTTCAAATTATCAAAATGCCTATATTAATGATTATCATTTCCCTGCCTTTCAATCTTTTGCTTATTTTAGTTTCTTTTCTTTTTTCTTTCTTTTTTTGAAGTCTAATGCATACACGGTAAAGTTCACTAATCTTAAATGTACAGCTGGATAAATTTTCATGTAACTACTACCCAGATGAAGATATAGCACATTTCCAGCACCCCAGAAGGCTCCTCTGTGCCCTTTCCTAGTCTATGTTCTCCCAGAGGTAACCACTCCTCTTTGTTTTGACTGCTCTTTCATTTGATATAAATAGAATCATACAGTATATGTGCTCTTGGGTCTGGCATCTTTCATTTATCAAGTCTGTGAGATTCATCCACTTTGTTGCATTTAGTTTATTTTTCTTATTTTTATAGGCCATTTAGATAAAGACAGGCAAAGGCACCAGCAATGAGGAGGCAAAAGAACTTTCCATTTTCATTCCTAAAATAGCCTTTAATCTGATTTCAGTCAACAAATATTTGATCAATGCGTTTTTATGCCCAGTGCTTTCTTTGAATTCTCATAGCCCTTTATCATACCACTTTTATAAAAGACAGTGCTATCTACTTTGTATTTTGTTATTTTTTTACATCTCTAATTCCCTCTGCTATGCCAGACAATAAGCTCTTTGAGGAAGCACATTAAGGAAGTACACACTTTTACATACATAATGTCCTTTAATCCTATAACAGAATTGAAAGTTTTGTCTCATACTTTGATGGTATTAGTCCTTTGTTGCTTCCCCCTTCTCTGCACTCTGTTAGAATGTCCCAAAGCTCCGTCCTTGAACTTCTTTTTTCTGTTCTTTCTTCCTCGTTCACCTTATTTAATATTTTGACACCACACACATGTCACTTTCCAACATTCTGACCTACTTTATTTTCTTTAGAGCATTCATTGCTATTTGAAATTATCTAACTTACTTTTTTTCTTGCTTATTACAAGTCTCAGTAGGATCTAAGATCCAGGAAAGCTTGTTTTATTGGTATAACTGCTAACACATAGAATAATGAGTGCTCAATAAATATTTTTCAAAAATTGAGAGAGGAATTATTATCATCATAAAAATAAAGAAATTAAGGTGAAGAGCATTATGCACATAAGGGGTCTTCAGAAAGTTCACGGGAGGATTTGTGTTATCTTTTTTATTTTATTTTTTTCCCTTTTTGTCTTTTTTCGTGACCGGTAACGGGATCGCAACCCTCGGTGTCGCGCCTGCACCGCGCTCAACCAGTGAGCGGGCTGGTCTCTATATGGGATCCGAACCCTCGGCGGGAGCGCCGCCGCACTCCCAAGCGCCGCACTCTACCGAGTGCGCCACTGGGCCGGCCCTTAATTCAATTTTTCCACAAACTTTTTGAAGTACCCTTGTATTCTTTTCACTGTACTGCCCTGCCTTCCCAACTTATTTTCCTTTATTGAGCTCTCACTTTCTATTAGGCACTATGTTTCCCACCAGGGTTGCAAAGATACATCATCTTAATTCCTGAGAACTTCACAGATGAATGAAGAGGGAAGTGAACTTACAGTCCACTTGAGGGAAGCCTCCATTCCTGGTTCATTTTTTTGTCGTCCACAATTCCTAACACCAAACTTATCACATTGTACTTAGTAGGCACTCGATATGAGTTGAATGACAGTACAAACATAGTGGCCTTTAGAATGTGCGACTCTAGTGAGAAAGGCCTTAAACATGTATTTCTTACATCCTAAGAAATAGAAACACTAAAAAGTGCACATTTAAAATAATAATTGGATACCATTAAATTTAGCCAAGAAAAGGTTAAATGAGATAACATAGTATAGACTTATGAAATTACAAATAGGTACCAGATTTTCAGAAGCAATTGGCTATCTATATATAAAGTGCCATAAAAGTGTTTATACCCTTTAATCTAGACATAGTAATCATGTGAATGAATTCAATAAAATATTTAAAATAGAGAAACCACACACTCACAAAAGAGCATAGCACAGTTACTTATTAAGCAAAAGGCAATAAAATTATCATAAAATTTAGTACAGTCTCCTGTAGCCATTAAAATAATAAATATGAAAATTATAACATGGAATTTTCTTGAAATATTGCTAGGTTTTAAAAAGGTAGAAAGAAAAATTGAATGTATATGATGGTTATAAATCATGTGTTCAAACTGTCCTTATAGAAAAGCAACAAGCCAGGGACGCCAGATCAGACTGGGGACGGGATAGTGACTGCACTCGTTGGATTGGCTCATGAGCTGAAAGCCCAGCCAGGAGCGACTGAGAACAAGCTTGTTGGGGCAAAGAGACAAGGAATAATATACACAAGGGGCTAGGAAAATAGGCAGAATCCGGATACGAGGCCCCTGGAGGAAAACTGGGAATCAGATAAGAACAATAGCAGCCCAACCTGTCTCCCTGCATCTACTTTTTGTTTGGGGATGGTTTTGAGAAGAGAGAATGTCTTTACTCTTAAGATAGTGCTTTTAAATTAACACTTTATACCAATGAGCATTACAATGTTCTCTTTCCTTCTAGTTAGCTCCTATCATTGTCTGATAAGTCACTTATAGTCCAGATTTTATTTTCTGCTTTGAAATATAAAGAAATTCTTAATGGTTTTGGGTGGAACATATCTTTGAGAGTGTGATGGCCCTTGTACTCAGATAAATGTACATATGCACTTATAAAATTATACATACAGTTCAAGTACCCCCACTGCAAGCTCATCCACATATCTCCCTAAGAGACCAAGGACTCCAATTAAGACTCCCTAGACAAGTTTATCCCCAAAATCGCTTTTTCTTGGATGTTAGCTTCGTAAAGGCAAAGTCTGCCTTTTTGACTGCTGTGTCTCCACATGTAGTACAGTGCTTCACACAAGTAGGTACACAATATTCGTGAAAGGAATTGGTGACTGATATGTTGTGTTTTCATTTGCTTTTATTTCAGGTCATAATAATAGTCCCTTTCTATGACTGCTATGAGCCCATGTTGAGAATGGTTGGAGCAACACCTGTTTACATTCCCCTAAGATCTGTAAGTTTGCCACTATGGTTCACATGCTTTAAGAAGTTTTGAATATACCAATTTCTTTGTCACCGATAAAGTTTCTACTTTGATTGCATCTCGGGATTAACTTTATATCTATTTGTCTAGTCTTTTTAAAATCATTTCAAAATAACTAATGCACTAGGTGAGTCATAGAATCTTCTATTAGCCTTAAAGTATCAGACATGTTAACCATAATAATAGCTGGGTTTGGGGAAGGAATATAGGCACTTTAAGAGCTGCTAATGTTGACAGGGTTCATTTTTCCATTTAACAGGTATGAGCATGAGACTCAGGTCCTCTTGGGCTCTCAAGGTAGAACTAAAGCCTAATTGTTTCTGTTCTTGTTCTCTGTTAGTCATGTATTCAGTTACCTTTGCCATGCCTTTCTCTAATTTTTTTTTCCTTATTAGGTTATTTATTTGTAAGGTAGCAAACATAAATTAATTGAATTAAATTACATCTTCATTTTTCATGCTTAGAAACCTGTTGATGGAAAAAAATGGTCTAGTTCTGACTGGACATTAGATCCTGAAGAACTGGCAAGTAAATTTAATTCCAGAACTAAAGCTATTATACTAAATACTCCACATAACCCTATGGGGAAGGTAAGTGAGTCTTATTTCTTTATACCGTCTTCTGACCTATTGTTTGCTCACATGTTGAAAAATGATTGGCTGTGCTTTTTCCTTTAATGCGTAGGTGTATACCAAAGAGGAACTCCAAGTAATTGCTGACCTTTGCATCAAATATGACACACTCTGCATCAGTGATGAGGTTTATGAATGGCTTGTATATCCCGGAAAAAAGCATTTTAAAATAGGTACTAATTATTACATAGACTCATAAACCTAAATATGTGTGGCCAAATGTGGAACAACTGATTGGAAAAGATCCCAGACCAGCTTTAAAATAGTGTTTGTATGGGTGTCTGTCTGAATGAGCACTTAAAAATAGTATTTGAATGAATAATGCTTAAGTAAATTCATAAGCAGCTTGAAGGACAAACAGTACGAAGTTAGGGGAAGAAATACGGGATCATACTATAAAGCTATGAAACCAGAGAAGTAGTTCTTTTGTTTGTATTTCTGGTTTCCTGCAGCAGTTTGGCTATTACTTTGTGTGTAAGTCACAGGGGCCTTGCTCATTCCTAAAGAGGTTCTGAGCTGTCTGCACGGAGCAAGTTGTCAAAATGCCAGGGCAACAATAAGTTGTTAAAAGAGCAGTATGCTGTTGCTACTCAGCCCTTGACTGAAATTTTGCCATTACTAATCTCCCAAATGCCACAGTGTCTTCTGGAGTAGTCCAAATTTATATCAACTATAGGATTATAAGCTGGGCTGCAACCTTTGTATCTTTGCACCTGCCCTTCCTTTGCCTAGAAACACTTTTTCCCCAAATATCCTTTGAGGATATTTGATCCTTCACCTCCTTCAGGCCTTTGTCCTGATGTCAGTTTTCATGACCACCACATTTAAGATAGTTCCACCTTTCCCTCTAGCGTTTACTTTGTCCTTTTTCTGTTTTGTTTCTTCCTCTATAGTAAATATCAGACTGTGTATATTTTACTTCTCCACCAGAAGAAGGTAGGGATTATTATTTGTTTTGGTCTCTTCTGCATCCCCATTTTTCAGAATAGGGTCTTGCACAGGGTAGCCAATCAGAAAATAAAGATTGAATAAATGACTAAAAGGTATGAAAAGGATAAGGGAAAGATGACAAAACAATACTGTGGAAGAAATCGATAAATTTAAAAATTGGTGTATTTATATATAAACAGTTGTTACATGTATTACCATTGTTCCTATAGTGCATTACAAATTGCTAGAGACAGGAGGAGAAAGCAGCTGCCTGAAGGGATCAGAAAAGGAGTGGTCAAAAGATAGCATTAGCTAAGTAGAGAAATAGAAACTGAGTTCCTATCAGATAAACTAGCATGTACTAAGGCAAGGAGGTGTGAAAGATCAAGATATATGTAAAAAAGTTTAAGTGGTTTAATTTATAAGTGTGCATTGTAGTAACTGGCAGAGATGAGGGTGGAAAACTAGGGTGATTCTAAAGGAATTTCTATATGAGAATAAAGAATATAAACTCTGTTGAAGACATCAGTGATTCTGAAACTTACTTTAGTGGTAGAGCACCTGGAAGTCACAATGCTGCATATCATGAAGTAGTGATATAATGAATTCCACCTTGAAACTAGAAGTAATTTTCCTAACAGAAGTTCAATAATTAGAAGTCAATATAAAAGAAAAGAAAACAAAAAAAGCAACAAGAAAAAGAAGTCAATATAAAAATCACAATTCTATTTATAGTTGTCTGTAACAAAGAGCTATTGAAATAAATACATTTGAGTTTTTCTGATTTTGTCATTAGTATTCATTTGCTAAATGTTCATTTCTTTCACTATTGGTAGCATTCACAATCATGTAAGTGGTAGCAATTGCCAAAGGCTAAAGAAAATTATGTGGAAGAAAACTTAAAATTGATTTTTAAAAGTTTTTATATATTAATTTGATTACCAGAGTGCCAGTGAGCATACTCAGAACTACTGCAAAAGGTGTGACAAGGCAGGTGAGCTGGTTCCATGACTGAATATTCTGTGCTAAGGTAAGAGTCAGGTGTAAGCAAGGGTCTTAAGCAAATCCAGCACCCTGGCAGTGGAGATGGTACATGGAGGCTGTGCTGAAGTAGAAACTATGGCTCATAGAGCATAGCATTTGAAGGTGGGAAGGGGACGAGCAAGTAGGATTCTGGGATTTATAGCCTGAAATATTCAGCAGTGATGCGTCCCTTAACCAGAGTAAATATGGACAGGAGGAGCAGATTTGTGGGGAAGAGTTGAGCAAAAGGAATTCCTGCGTCTTGTGCTTTAAACGTGCTAAGTTGGAGTATCTGGAGACAAGTTAAATTACAGGCCTAATAGTCAGGATCCAATTATGAAGAGATATATTTGGGGCCTTCATCAAAATTCTGGGGATAGGTGGAGCCATGGAAGAGAATGAATTTTCTCAGGGAGAACACATAAACAGAGAAGGCAGCCAGGCATTTGCAGGGTGTGGTGCCTTAACACAGCAAAATGTTATGATGTGCCTAAACTGCGTTAGAGTCTACCATCACCCATCTTGTTGTTGACCTCCATCTCAGGTCATATGAACTATTTCGCAGTCGAAACTCAGACCCTCATTATTTTTTATTACACAGCAAAATGTTATGATGTGCCTAAACTGCGTTAGAGTCTACCATCACCCATCTTGTTGTGGACCTCCATCTCAGGTCATATGAACTATTTCGCAGTCGAAACTCAGACCCTCATTATTTTTTATTATAATTATTTCAGTTTGGCAATATGCACTCCAAAATATCACTTTAAGTGAACTCGAAATTTATTATTTAGGCCTACGAATTATAAGCCCTTCAGGGTAAAGTATAACTGATACCAATTACTTGCTGAAGATATGCAAGATATATATTTTTAGCTCAGATTTGTTTATTTGTTATAACAGCCCATAAAGTTAAAACAAGAAAAACAGAATGAATTCACTATTTCATTATTTAGAAAGCGCAATTCGTTTACATTAAAACTTAGGTGTTCTATCAAATACAGTGGCCTTTGTTACAAGAAAGTTGCAAAATGGCTATTACATCGATTTCCAAATCATGACAGTTGTTCTTTAATATACAATAAGGCTTTCTAGCCATACATCATGAAATTAACATCATCTTCATATTGTCACAGAGGCAGGTTTCCCTGGTGCAGCACTGTTCATCGTGTCTCTAATCTTCATCTGACTTCTGCTGAAGCTTCAGCCACCTATGAATAACAATTATAGCTGCTTTGGCTGAATTAAGGATTATGGGTCATAAACGAGAAGTGCAAAGACCAGTTGCCTTTTGGATGTACAAGTTACTGCAATCTAACATAACAAATAATGGATGATTTTCTAAAGTCATCAGAACTGGAAAGAATTTTTTTTCTTTTTTTTGCCTGTAAATTATCACATTTACATACAAAGCTGTGGTCATCTCCTCTGCCTGTATATTCACATTAACTTATGTGGATCTACAAATCTCTGAGATAAAGAAGACATGAGGATCTAGATATTTTAACATTACTTGAAGCTTTTTGTATGAAATAGTAGAATTTGCTCTTCCTGGATCAGATTTTTGATTAAATGATGTTTCCTGGTCAATGAAATGACATTTTAGTCAACAAAAGAAACCTCTCTTCTCCCACTATTTATATAATAATAATAATACGCTGATACTTGTAAAATTAGTATAAAATTCCTTCTGAGTTATTCATCTGATCAGCTTACTCTGAAAAAAAAAGACGTACACTTTTATATGACTAAAATAGTCATCAACAAATTACTCTTCTTTTAAATACACAGTATAATTAGATTTGATATTTTGTGAGTGAAACCTATATTTGATGTTCAAGTGAATAGTTTTGGTTTCCCTCATATATAACTTATAGTGAAAATGTTAGGATTGTATTAGTTTCTCTGGGTAATTTTAATTTCCCATGAATTTATTTTAAATATTGTTCTTACTAACAGGCCTTCCTGATTTTGGATATACATTATTACTTTAAAGGAATTGATATTCTGCATTTTAAACAATGTTTAGATTTTCCGTGATCAAATAGAAAAGTGTGGTGTGTGTCATGGTGTTCTTTTGGAATACTTTGGAAGACTAGAAATGTCTCAAAACTTGAAGGGATATAATTACTCATATCAAATGTTAGAATATTCCTTCATCAACTGGATCCTCTAAATATTTTCCTCATTTATCTTTTTAGTTTTTGTTATTTTCCACAGAGAATATATTTATAATTTTTCTGATTTACACAGTTTTCCTACTATTACAGATAGTGGCAGATATTTCACAATAAGCTGAAATTACTTATGCATCATTTTGGAAATTTCTTTAGCTACCTTACATTTTAGTAGGCACTTTACTTGCTTATGAGCAGATTGCTTTAAGAAAGCAGAAACTTTGATCCACAGAAGTGAGCATTTATTTTTACTTTGTGTGTACCAGCACTGTTAAAACAATACAAAAGCCTCCACTGTACCTCTAAAAAAGCAAGTGGAAAAACGTATGGGATTGCCTGTGAAGAATTTCACAAGTAAATGGCTTGAGGAACCCAAAAAGCAGTGTTGCAGGTAGTCATATCAGAAGATTCACAGAGGAGTAATTTAGCAATGTCCAACAAAATTCACAAATTCTTGCATTTTATACCTCCACGCCTTTGTTAGCCCAAAATACGTTTCCTCCCCTCTCTGCCTGGCTAAAGCCTATGTGGACTTCCAAGTCTCAGCTCAAGCATTACTGGCTGCAGAAAGATACCCCCAGCACTCTCTTCTATCCTTGCATAACACTCCATGCCTACTGGTATAACGGAGCTTGTCACAGTGCATTACACTTGCTGTCTTACATGTCTCCTACCCCTACTATATGTCATGCTCTTTGAAGATAGGAACTACGTCTTACTCATATTTGTTTCCTCTAAATCTAGCTTACTTAGTCCCTCGAACCTGGTGGTTGCTAGTAAATATTTGATGGGCGAATGAATTAATAAATGAATGACTTTATTAAAGATATTAATCAACTTCTATATTTGCAAATTCGCCTACTCCCTAAAATATATTTGTAACACCGAAATCAGTGGTCACAGCTGTTCATTACAAGATGGGCAAAAGGTCTGAGTCACCTATACATGTATTCCCAGTTAAGGTCAAACAAGGCAACACTCTGCTTCCTGTTTCAGCTCATACTATAAACAGGTGTCTTTTTCACAGTGATTTTGCTGTTTAAAATGGACCTGAAGCATCGTGCTGAAGTGCTGTCTAGTGTTGCTAAGCAAAAAAGGCTGTGGTGTGGCTTTCGGAGAAAATACATATGTTCAGTAAGCTTCATTCAGGCACAAATTCTAGCGCTGTTGGCAACAGGGATATTAGGCGGCAATAGCAAAAAGGTACAGGGCTTCTTTTAGGGTGGAATAATGTTCTAAAATTGATTATGGCGATAGTTGCACAGCTGTGGATATACTAAAAATCACTGAATGGTACACTTTAAATGGGTGAATTATATGATATGGGACTTATATCTCAATATAATTGTTAGCAAAACACACTTTTAGGGTGGAATAATGTTCTAAAATTGATTATGGCGATAGTTGCACAGCTGTGGATATACGAAAAATCACTGAATGGTACACTTTAAATGGGTGAATTATATGATATGGGACTTATATCTCAATATAATTGTTAGCAAAACACACACACACACACACACATTACTGAGCCCTACCCGCAGAGTTTCTGATTCAGTAGGTCTGGGATATGAGGCCCAATCATTTACCTTTCTTACAAGTGATGCAGATATTACTTGTCTGGGACCACATTTTAGGAACTATTGTTCTAAGAAGACTAGAGAAGTAGGCTCAGAAAATGGGTTAAACAATAGTCAGAACCACAAACAAAACCATGCAAACTGATTATTATGTTAGACATACAACCCCTCCTGACACTGATTGCTGGATGCCACCGTGCATGTGACAGCTGCCACTTGAACTGGCCCAGAATGCTGCCTACTGGAGCCACTGCCACTCCTGCCCCTGGAAATAATCTTGCTAATTAAAATTATTAAATCTGTTTACGTATTATTTGGGGCCAACATGACAGTGTTTTAAGGCATTACAACATTTTCAGCTCCGTTTTGGGTAAAAGTTACGTTATAAAAATAAAAATCCTATTGAAATAACTATACTGACTACACTATAATACATTTATTTTCACTGAATTCATGTATCTTTGTTATGCTTTTAGATTATACTCAGTGCAGATTGATTGGAAAGCAATTGTTTAACCTTTGTCCCCCTGTTCAGCCACTTTTCCAGGTATGTGGGAGAGAACAGTAACAATAGGAAGTGCTGGGAAGACTTACAGCGTAACTGGCTGGAAGGTGAGATGAGTAAGAATTTAATTGCTTAAAAATAGGCATGTATTTTATATTTTGTAGAGTGTTCTGTGTGTTAAATGCATACATATTCAGTCTACATAGGTTTTTATACTTAGTGATCTTTTACTTATTTATTGACTTAGCTGTCATGCTGAGCTTTCTCCTTTTTGAGACCTAATCATTTTTTTCCAGTAAGAAAAATTAGGTAATTTTTTATTTTCATTAGAGGTCAACTAATGACATGTTTTTCTCTGCAAAGATAAGTTCAAATTATTAATAAAAAAGAAGAAAATAATAATAGCTAATATTTTCGCTCTTACTATGTGCCAGATTCATGTTTTACATGTACTAATTCCTTTCATTCTCATAATCACTTTATAAGGTGGGCACAATTATTATCCCTGTTTTACAGATGATAAAACTAAAGCACAAACAAGTGAAATAACTTGCCTGAGATTACACTGTTAATGAATTCAAGCCAGGAGGGGTAGTCTGGCTTCAGAATCCACGCACTTAACCACTGTGCTATTTATTACAATAACAATTTATCTAGTTGAAACTCAGTTCTTTCTTCCAGCCTCACCTCTCCTGAACATGGCTAAAAGGCTGGGAGCATCCAAAATGAGGCCTGCAGAATTAAAAGTCTGTATGTTTTAATTATGGAAGAATCCCTCAGGCCCTCATTCACAGTTACTTTTATCTGTAATTCAAACAAGCTTTTCTTTGGTTTTTAGTCCTCCAGAATATCAAAAGTAGCACATTCATTAGAAGAAGGGAAAAGGCTATTAATGATTGCAGGCTCTGCTTACCTTCTGAATTCAGAGCTTAATGATGTAGGCAGAGCTAGTGACTCCAATTGGAAACTTCTTCACAAAAAGTGCAGGGTTGAAATGATACTAAGTGCAAATACTGCACTGCTTTCATAGTGTGGACATTTTGGAATCTCACGCTTAACAATTGGATTAAATTTAACTACTCTATAAGATTTGGTATACACAATTAGATTTTTTTTTAAATCTTCCTTTATCTTTTTCTTTCCAGCTTGGCTGGTCTATTGGTCCTAATCATTTGATAAAACATTTACAAACAGTTCAACAAAATTCCGTTTATACCTGTGCAACTCCTTTACAAGTAAGTGTTATAATAACTTGGGGGTGAAGCATGGTCTTTTCATGAAGGTGTTACTTTCATATCATGTATTTGAATTAACCTTATTCTTTCCTTCATGTCTTTCTTGAACAGGGCCTTCTATATAATTTGAGAATTTAGGAACAGACACATATTCTCTGTCATAAGAATAGGTCTTTTGTTTTGTTTTGTTTTAATACATCACGTTCTGGCTTTGAACACTCATAATGTTACTGGCAGAAGCACAAAGTGCTACAAACTGTCTGGAGAACAACAGCAGCACCAAGCAAAATTACAGATGTGCTTGCCCTATGAAACAGCAGTCCATCTTCTGACAACTTACCCTAGAGCTGTTATCTGTATATGTAAGAAGTTATGTATGTAGGTGGCTATTCATTGTGGATTGGAGATAATCCTTTAACTGTCTACAGATAATTGGTTAAATAAACCATCATCTATCCAAACATTAAAATATTAAATGACTGGACTAGTTTCCTATTACTACTGTAGCAAATTACCACAAACTTAGTGACTTAAAACAACACAAATTTATTATCTTAACTGCTCCGCACGTCAGAAGTCTGAAATGGATCTTAAAGGGTTAAAACCAAGGCGTCGGCATTGATGTGTTCCTTCAGAGGCACCAGGGGAGAATCTGTCCCTTGACTTTTACAGCTTATAGAGGCTTCCTGCATTCCTTGGCTAGTGGTCACATCACTCCAACCTCTGCTTGCATGGACACATCTTCTCCTGTGACTAACCCTTCTACCTCCTTTTCTCCCTCTTAAGGATACTTGTAATTACATTAAGCGCATTAGATAATCTCACCATCTCAAGATCCCTAATTTAAATCACATCTGCAAAGTTCCTTTTGTCATGCAAGGTAATATATTTACAGGTTCTGGGGTTTAAGAAATGAACATCTTTGGGGCCATTATTCTGTCACAGAATAATGTTACAGAGTAAAAAACCACAATGGCTATTTAAAAGAAAAAAGATAAAGAAAGAGATTGAAGAAACTCTGTAATTACTGATAAGGAAAGATTTCCAGAATATATTACAGAGTAAAAAAAGGAAAGATACAGAGCAGTGTAGATTTATGCTACATTTTACATAAGAAAGGAGTAAACTGCTTGTGTTTCCTTAAATGATCTCTGGAAGGATCCATAGGAAGCTAGTAAAAGTGGCTATTTGTAAGAGTGAAAGGAATTAAAAGGGCAAAAGAGTAAAATATATTGGCAACAGTGTACTTGATTTTTTGCTTCCTGTCAAAAATACCTTTTGAATGGGAAAAATTTCTATTATAAAATTCTTTTTTCAGTGACTCTCTAAAGTAATACTATGATAGAAGCTAATTCTTGCATTTGGTTTTATTGTATACTAAGCTCATTTTATCTTCTCAAAATAAATCCATTCACTTATTCAGCAAACATTTACTGAGCATTGGAGCTATAACAGACAAAAATTCCTACTCTTGTGGAGCTCACAACCTCATGGGGGGGACATAAATAATAAAGAGATAAATGTTTTAAATATATATCAGATGTTGATAGAGAGCAAGAAGAAAAAGTAGGGAAGAGGAAGGATGTAAAGTGCCAAGGGGGAGAATATACAACGTTAAATAAGGTCATCTTTGAAAGCCTTGCTGAAAAGGTAACATTTGAGCAATGAACTGAAGGAGGTTAAGCAGCCATGTGGTTACCTAGAGGAGAAGCCTAAGGACTGAGAGAACAGCAAGTACAAAGGCCCAGTGGTAGGCAGCTGGTTGGCATGTTTATCTCAGTGAGCAGCACAGAGGCAGGAACGGGATGATCAAGGGAGAAGAGCAGGAGGAACTAGGATCAGAGTTATAGCTGGGATCAAGCTAGGCCACATATGTCACTGTAAGGACTGGACGAAGTCAATGGAGACTAGAAGTGACACGGTCTGGCTTGTGTTATCAAAGGGACCGTGGCTGCTTTGTAGAGTGAGAAGGCTGTTGCAATGATCCAGGAGAGAAATGCCAGTGGATTGAATGAATATGTGGATGGTAGAAGTGGTGAAAAGTGATTGGACTCTGAAAATATTTTGAAAGTAGAGCCAACAGTACGAACTTCAAAAAGTTCATGGAAAAATAAAATTAAGAGATGATGCAAATCATTCCATGAACTTTTTGAAGTACCCTCAAATTTATCTATGGATTACATATTGGGGTATGACAGAAAGAGAAGTCCAGGATAATGATATAATCAGGACGGACATTTATGTCTCCTGAACTTTGAATTTTCTTGGGCACTATCTCCTATTATAGTGGAAGAACAAGTTGCTGAGAAAAAGAAAGATACAGCTGAGAATCTGGAACATCTTCTGAGTCATCGTATTCTCCATTTCAGCTAGGTGCTCTGTCTCACTCTCAGCCATGCTTGGAAACTGACCCCTGCTTCCAGGGGAACTACAGATGTCCAGGCTGACGCATTCAATCCTTATTTACCCAAGATGACTTTAGTACGGGGGAATTGTTACTAATTCTGTTTTACTGCTGAATTCCTCTGGCATGAAGGCTACTCTATGATCTTGCCCCTGTCTGTCTCTCAGTCTCATCTCTTGAATGCTGTCTCTCTTGCTATCCTGCAGCCACACTGGACCTCTCTCACTTCTTCCAAGCCAACAAATTATATCCTGCCTTCTTCACTTATTTGGTTTCTGTCTCATCCCTCCCCCTTCTTTCAATATACACTAATTGGAAGCTCCATGAAGGCAAGGACCATGTCTGTCTTGTTAACTGTTATATTCCCAGCACTTACCAGAATCAGAATGCCAGGCTTAACATAGGTACTCAATATATATTTACTGAGGGGGTGAATTTACCCCTTAGTTCTCTTATTTATTTATTTATTGAAACATAATTGATTTTACATATTTTGGGGGTACAATGTTGACTATCATTATTTGTGTACAATATGTGATGATCAAATCAATATTATTAGCATATTCATCTTTACAGATCGTTTTTATTCTTTGTGTCTCTTAACCAGTCCTATTGTTCTTGATATTTCTTGCTTCCAATTAATTTCTTTCAAATGTGACCACTTTTCTCTGTCCCTCTATGTCTTAGCTGTTTCGAGTTTTTGATTATTTGCCTGGATCTCTTAGTTTGCTCCAAGTACCATTATTTCTAAGTTGTTTCTGTTCACATTTGCCTACCGAGCTTCTGCCCTTCTGCTGTATAGATCCTTGTTCTTTATGCATGCCCTGATTCTGACTTGTTTATTTCTCAAACACCTGCCTAGTCCTTAATGTCTTAGTCAGTCCAGGCTTCTATAACAAGGTATCATAGACTGGGTGCCTTATAAAACAACAGAAATTTATTTCTTACAGTTCTGGAGGCTGTGAAGTCCAAGATTAAGCTACCAGCAGGTTGTTGGCACCTTTTCACTGTGTCCTCACAAGGTGGAAGGGGCGAGCTAGCTCTCTTTTATAAGGGCACTAATCTCATTCCTGAGGGCTTTTACTCTCCTGATCTTATCACCTCCCAAAGGCCCTACCTCCTAATACCATCACTTTGGGGGTTAGGATTTCATATGAATTTGGAGGGAAACACATTCAATCCACTGCACTTAACATTGGCTTTTTCTTTGGCCCTGTTTCTTTCCTGGCTTTTCTGACTTGCCTAGAGAATGCTACAGGAGTTACTCCACATGCTCCCCAAACCAGTTACTAATCCCTGTTGCATTTTGACCACTTTCCTGGGATATGAGTGGTTACAGCAAGGATTTGCACAGCTGT